ATCAATGAAGTAGGTAGTAAGCCTTAGTAGTCGGTAAGTACATCTATAATTATTGTGAACTGTGTAAAAAAATTAGGTTCCTCAGAAACTACTTACGTAGGNATCGACAAATGTCATATTAAATTAAAACTAACTTTAACATATTTAACAATTTTTTTTTCTAACTAATTTTTTAACATATTTAAGTCAAGTTATACGTTTTTCTAAATGTTCACTATTAAAAACCAAAAAACATTTCATTCTTAAATAATCAAACATCGGAAATCAATCACCGGTAATTTTTTGGGTATTCATAGCACCGTTGCTATTCAAATTCAAATTATTTATTTGCAATAAATAGGGTTTACAAAAAGGTGTTTCAAAGAGATAAATGTTGCTTTCACCTATTTAACTATGATAACACAGCATGCAAATTTTCATCTTAAAACGACTTTTTATAAAAAGCTCTAGAAGAGATGCCCACCGCCCTCTAGCGAGAGGAAAAAACCACTGAAGAACACTGATGATAATGACTACGACTTAGGTTGTACACCTTTGACATGAATTTTAAATTTTACTGTCTTTAAATTTTACTGTCTTTAAATTTAAATCATAATTGTCATTTTTATGAATAAAGATATGAAGAAAATTTAGTGCAATTTTTTATATAATTTTTTCGAAAACTTATCGATACATCTATGTGAACCGTACGAAACATACACAGCACTAGTCACATTCGTTTGACAGCCGTCATTCTAATCAAGCTATATTGGATAGACTATAAATGATCACAGCTGACTATATTTTTATTTTAAGGAGTAATTCCTTCCTTCATGACTTCCCGAGGGATATTTGCGGCGGACTGGAATGCACGCAAGCGACGCCACAGGGCAAGGCTAATAAAACAAAGATTATAAGACAATTATAAGGCAATTAGGATAATTTCTCGAAATTTTGTTTTACTTTGTAACTTTATATGTATGACGTCTCTCACCTTGGTAATGATGTCATTAGCTGAAACCAGGTTAATTGAATTACTTTAGACTCATTAACAAATTACCCATAAAACCTTCTGTGGAAAACATCATCACTTTAGAAGTGCCTTGAGCCTACATAATACTTTGGTTGATTAAATGTCTAAACACGTGACAAGTGTCGCAAAAAAGCGTAATTATTTCATTTTTCTGTTGTCAGTACAGCAATTTGTCAAGGGGTATTTACTGCCACTTAATGAGGGCAGTTAAAAAGCCGCGCGCCGGACCACTGTGCTTAGGGAGCTTACACATTGCCACTTTTTGCAGCGATACAAACACGCGATTTACAGTCGCGCGACTCCACCGCGATTGTGTCGCTGCTTTTAGTACTTGTGAATTAGTTCCTTTTTGCTGTGATAAAGATTTCGGCACGCATGCGGATCTGGTCCGCGTGCGTGTAAATTCACGCTGCTGACAAAAATATCTTGTATTGTGTGCCCGCAGCCAATCCACGTTCCGCGTGTGTGTAGCCCGCGTAATATAAAAAAACATGTATAAAATAATGATATTCGGGCATCCGCACGCTTTAAATCCGCACGCTTGTCAAAATCCGCATCACAGGAAAAAAATCACTAAAGGCAAACGTTTTGCGACTATATCGATGCTGTATCGCGACCGAATCGCGTTTGCAATGTAAAGTTACCCTTAGTTACAGCCACAATAAAGGGGAAGGCGCCTCCCCGTGGACCGAATTTAGTGGGCGCTGCAGTAATGCGCTTCACTTTTCTGCACTTACTTAGTCCCGCTCGTTGTGGAGTAAGTTGGAAAAATAAAATGTTACAGCAGGCTGCAAATTTGCTAAAATGACTTTGTAAATGTTTACTTTGACAAAAAAGGTGTTAATCACGAGTTTGTTGTTTGTTTGACGTACCAAATAACATGTTATTCATATACATCGCTGATACTTATTTTTGTTTTTTTCCTATAAAATAAAAGTTTAAATTAAGTTAATGTAAATTTAAACAAACAAGATTTGTGGAAAAAGTTAAAAAACAAATAAAGAATGTCGTTTAATACAAAATATGCAACACCGTGACAATATTATCTGTCGCAAAAGCATTCAGAAAGTACAATAATAAAACAAAGCAAAGTTATAATCAAACTACTGCAAACTTTTCAATGACACCGCCGTGTTATTAAACAGGAAACTTAAAGCTCAACTTTTGGCAAAACGAGATCTTAAGTTGAATTTAAATTGGTTTTATAAGTGCTTTGTCGGAAGAAGATGTGTCGCGTGCAATGCAATGTGGCTTTAGTAAACAGAGAAATAATTTTATGTATGATTTTTTACTTAGATCAGTGATGAAAAACCCCGTAACGTGCGTTAGGTTAGGTTTTACGATGACATAATCCTTATCAGTACCTATTAAGAGTAGTTTTTCAATATTAAGCAAACGGATAGAACAAGATTTTCGATTATCATTAATTTTGTAACGGAGTGGTTATTAAAATTTATTCTTTATCTATTCGTTTGTTATCATTTATCATTTTTTTGTTTTCCCAATGAACTCATACAAATGAGATATGAGCAAATAAAAGCAAAATAATTTTGATAAGCTTCTTGGGTCAAATTCGAGGGGTATTATAACGCGGTGCGGTTCAAACTTGCTCTTGCCTAAGCGTATTTGCTTCCTCGAAATTGATGTAGTAATAGGGTTGGCACCAAATTCTTGGAAAACTCAGATTACTTTATTTACAAAGTTATATAGTCACATTTATTTGACATTCGGTGAAATATTTTTCCAAAAATTTATCAATGTAAGATGCCTTTATATTGATATTATTAAAAGTGTCGCAACTTTAAAAGTTACGAAGACAAACATAATTTAACAAACAAGAAGTCATCCTTTTGAACGTTGAATTTTTTTACTTCTTCAAAAAACTATCAGCTCTTACAGGGTTTCATAAAATTTTGGAAAAACCGTAATCTATCTGTGCTGTCGATCTGTCATTAACAAACCTTTCAAAAAGTAGGCGATTGAAGGATCATTTTGAAGTTAACGAAGTCTTGTGTCAAGGTTTTTATTACACGGGTTGGTAACCCTATCCGTCAAAATCTTGTTTAGACACTCCGTTACACTTTAATTATTGGCAGATGAAATTTCGAGCCGTTAATATCGTAAGCGTAATTACCGGGATAGTTCACTGAAATTATATCGACTTGTAAACAGATATTGGGATGTTACGAGATCAAAGATAAAACGGGTTATGGCATTTCAAGTTATGACGTATTCTATGATCTTCTTCTTATTCGTTACGCTCTTGGCAGAGCGGTCGTGGTCACGTTGAAGCGTTGTTCACATCGGTTGTAGAGGTGGATACAACTCTCCGCACGATCTCCCTCCATCTCTCTCTATTGGCAGACTGTCTGGTGTAGTCACATAAGCCGTCTCCCACTGCTGCTTTCACTTGGTCGGTCCAGCGCATTGGTGACCTGCCACGCGATCGGGTTCCTTCAACGTTTCCCTGGACGACCAGTCGTTCTATGGAGTTGTCATCCCGCCTCGAGACATGTCCCAAGTATTGCAGTATGCGCGACTGTACTACGGTTGATAAACGCTGAGTGACACCGAGCTCCTGGAGTATGGACACATTGGTACGGAACTCTGTCCATGATATCCCGATCATCTTTCTCCAGCACCACATCTATTCTATGATACCTTATTGTAATTGCAAGAGGTGATTTATTACTGATATGAGTATTAGTGATATGATAATCTTATAAGTTAAACAAAGTGTATACTAAAGGTAATTGCAATAAGTTACACTTTGCAATAAAATGTATATTCTATCTGATGTGCTGTCGTCTATACAACCGGTAATAATTTCACGCAAAATCACCTGAATTGAGTTTGACGTTTAAAACAATATCGAGTCAATTATTAATTAATGAACATGAGCATCATTTAATAAAGTAGAGTAGCTCGATACGTTTCCAAAAAAAGTCACGGGTTAAGTGTATCATTTTAAAATCTTTTTATAACAATGTAAATGTTTATAACCAATATTACCATCCAATTCCTAAGTGTGATCATCGTATCCTTCATTTTATTATACTAGTATGAGTAAACAAAATGTGAAATGAAATATTAATGAAGTAGGTAGTAAGCCTTAGTAGTCGGTAAGTACATCTATTACTGTGAACTGTGTAAAAAAATTAGGTTTCCTCAGAAACTACTTACGTAAAAGACTTTTGAAATGATTTCTTACGAAAAGACTAACTTATTTACTTTGAAAAGCTAATTTAAATGATTTTTTAAAACTCCACTATCATATTTCTCATTAACGTAAGCCGTGAAAGCAAGTCTTTCCAACAAAGCGCGCTCCGTGTCACCGAAATTTTACTATCTGTTACAATATTAAAATTTCACAAAGCACTCTCAACTTCATCTCGGGTTTATAGACGCCAAATATATGGGTTATAAACTCACTGACTAGCAAAATTTCATCGTATCATTTAACCCTGTGACGTACAATTTCTACGTAGCTAACACTTTTAGGGACGCGCCGGGGTTGTTATTCGCTATGTTCCAATAAATTATACACGGGGAGTTAATTTTCGAAATATTTTAATTCGTATCTCTTGAGCAATCAAAGCGCTCTCCCGAGGGCTAAATTTTAACTCGATGTAATTAGCCGGCCTTCATTTAAGGACCAAACATTTTGGGGAAGAAAGTTCCCTTGTATTTTTGTAAACTTTTATAAATAAAATTAAGAACTGAGCGACTAAAATAATGGCTTGATATTTTATTGACAGATTAGCTTGTAACAGAATAGATTAACAGAAGCTGGGAGGTGTTTTTTGCGTCTTTCAATTGAATTCTGATTTTTTAAATCGTCTTTGACTCTGTATACTAGTTCGGTTGCTTTGAAAACGATGTCAACATGAAACGAAGTCGAGTTACTATCGAATAAAAAAAAAAACAATATTTCAAAAAGCAATCGAAATCAACATAGTACCAAAATCGTATATCCCTAAAAACTCACCGACAAAATCGATATAACCGACGACGATCCCGATGCGATACCTGAAACAGAACAAGACTTATCATTTGCGCACACGACAATATAGCGTAACGCACACGACAATACAGCGTTACGCGCGCGATACGAGCGGAAAATCGCAAACAAATGTGTATGGGCAAACACGGGACCGGCCATCGACGCGCGTACTGTATTGTCACTATTTTAACGGCTATGTTTTATGAAAGGTTGCGTAAGTTGAAAATACAGGTGCCTTTGTATGAATGGTTATGCACTCATAACAAGGGTTTTGATTACTTGATGAAGAATAAGACTTTTCAAGCTCGTGTGACCTCTTGAATGATTTATTAATAGTGATATTTTTATGTTTTCTACATTTGATGCGAAGTATTATAAACGGACTTAATGTGCTACACCATTATCTGACGAAATGCATAGTTCAATCTGAAATTTTCTAATCATTCATTATCAAACATAGAAACACAAATCTTTAAAAATCTACAACGGCTATACACATCATTACCTACTTTACTTCACAGAAAATTGCGGAAATGATAGGCCTTGGTTCAAACAGGGAAAGTGTAAATAGATGTCAATAAGCAAACACGTCGAGCGAACATCGGCACGAGCGTGTGTTTACACTATTTTATGAAACCGACCGGGACCCAATAAGAAGAAACCTTGAAGTGAGTTGAGTTTGTGTTGAAACAACTGTAATGTTTGCGAGCAGTGATCCGTGTTTGATAATAGTGATTGTGACGTATTTGATGTTACAAGTACCAATATTGGTAAGGAAATTGTTACAGATAATGTTGAGGAAAGGAGGAATACTTATTTTGATTTAGCAGTAGATTTAAATGTGGACAACTAGATTATTGCTTTTAATCTTGCAAGATTCGTTTTTATAGAAAGTATAGAAACCGCCACGTCAGGGTTAACACTGTGAGATTTACACAGTTTTAATGGATCCGATTTTGCAACAAAAATGAATACAGGTTTTCACTTAAAGTATGGATCAAACAAAAATGATTTATTGAATAAAAAAAAAACCTTTTTCTACAAATTGTCATCACTAATCAGCCAGTTATTTATGTAACACAGAGTGACACCTGTATACTAGTCTAATGTGCTGTCGACAATACCAAGAAGTAAATAATAACTTTATACGCTCTTGTAGACTAATATTCACAAGTCACTGAATATGATAAACGCAAAAAAACGTCTCTATGCAGCACACCATAAACAGATCTCCTTTTACGGTCCCATAAGTTATTCCTTATCGCCTCACAATAATACATTCGGATGGAACTTTATTGCCAAATAAACCGTACTGACATGTCATTACACGTTTCATAAAGAATCACATTTTCATAAATAATCATCTTATGGTAATCCTATGCATAGTCACCTACTTACACATTCACTGAATATATCCTACGTCTATAAATTTTTACGAGCGACCGTTTGGTTGAAACGGTTCGTATGGGCATACAAAATTGGAGATTCCTAAACATGAAGGTATTGCTTAAAATAGAACGTGTCGATCTGTATAACAAAAAAGCGGTACAATAGTTATAATATTATTCTTATTCTAAAAATATGGCTTACCTCCTAAAAAGTCAATTCAGGACAGGCGTGAATGTTTGCCAGTTTTGTTTCCAAAATTAGTATTTGTCTAAATATTTTAATTAAAATAATATTTGTGAGTTATTTTATCTGTGTGAGTCTTCAGGCAGCCTATTATAAATAAATAAATTTTACGTATAAGCAAATGAAACAAAACAGTGCAACATCACTTATTCATTCTAAAATCTGATATTGTTTGTTTTAAATTTTCCATTTAACTTTTGTTTGTAATCTGTATTCTATCTACGTTAATATTTACTTTTGTTTTAGTATTAGAGACAATATAAGTCCCGAAACAGGTCAATTGATTTATAAACTAAATAAATAGCAATTTCATTCATCAAATGGCGTTAAATAGCCTATTGAGAATCAATATAGATTTTGATTGGATCAGAATACCTACAATAGGTATCATCAGCCGCGAACTATTGTCCTATTGTAAATGCTCTACTGAGTTCTATCATTAAAAAGTCATGCCTTCGTGGTCGTCAATCATTCAAATCATTAATAACACCAGGTAAGAGAAAGTTATCGCAATATTCTTTACCAATTAACTTTTACGAATTAACAATAGTCATTGTTAAGATTGTAATGCTAAAACTAACAATTCGGAACAGCATCGAGGTCGTCGACATACATATCATTGTCTCATCCCGAAAAACAGGGTCGTCTGAAGATATATTGTGAAAGCCCACCTCTATTATGCTAAACAGTATAACGGTGAGATATTGGTGCGGTCGTGCGGTCATTTCTTTTTGCCAATCTACTTTGGTCTCTAAGGCTTGTATTGTAAAGGTGTGCAGTGATGGCACAGGTCGTCAGATTCGTGATGAGATGACACCGGTTTACGACCGTCGTCACAGCTTCGGATTCCTTCCACTCGGTAACTACCCGTAGATGTTTTTCTGTTGCGGTTTTACTGTCGATAGTTGTAGTGTCATTCCGTGACTCGATTTCGTGTTTACTGCTGATAGTAGGTGTTTCATTGTTTGCACTCACTTTGGGTCTTATCATGTGAAGAGTTTTGCATGTAAGTATGTATGTGGAAAACAAAACAAAAGGCCGGACTATAAAGCCAGTAATCCCGAATTGAAATTGTGCAAAGAGTGTGATATTTGTACACTCTAGATTACTAGAGTCCATCTATACTCCAATGCTCCATTAAAGGTGGATTCGGCCAAACAAGTGTAAATATTAATCTCAGAATAAATTGTCACTTTTGACATATTTCCCATACCGAAACTGTCAATGTGCCAGTTATACCAGGAGTTATTCTCGGATAAAAGTTTGGTCGAATCGGGCCTTATAGGTAAGTAATAACTCAATATGATGTTGTCTTGAGTTCCTAAATCTTGCGCAATTGGTAAAGTGACTCGATAAAACTCTAAAAACACTGTATTACAACACTACATTTCAGTCTTTCTAAACAACGTTCCGTTCCACGCGAATCCAATTCGAGACCACATACATTTCTGGCCCAGCTTCGCCAGCAACATCTGTAACTTAATAACTCCCCGGGAATACCTATCGCCGCAATATCTGTCCAGACGCATAAGCTCGCCTTAATTGTGAAACTCAAACAGCGGAACGACGCAAATTCGAACTTGGAAACAAATAGGTGCCACTAAATTGTGACGTCACATTCCCGGTAGACGGCGTAATTTAGTTTGGGAAATGCTGACCAGCTGACAATATTTGGTAGTAGATGTGGATAGTTTAGTACCATTCTAAGCTAATGTTATTTATGTAGGTAAGAAAGAGGTCACCGTTCCTATCTGATTATGGATTTCACTCCTTCAGCTTGATTGTCACTTTCCATCAGGTGAAATGTAGGCCAAGAGCTTCCTCTTTGTAGATAAAGAACAAATTTGAATTAATTAAGCAAGTCTTAACTTTGATTCTAGACCTTTTGACTGATTATTATTATCTATTTGAAAGTGAAAATTTAAACGCCTTGAAACCTGTTAATTTCGCTTTTTTTCCTTTCAGTATGTAATATCTTATTACACCATATTCCGAATTTTCAAACAACATTTAGAGAGCTGAATAAATTACGAGTTATTTTGCACGAGATATTTGCATACTTGCATAGTGATGCACAACTTTAGCAGCCAATAAGTCGTATCGGTGCAATATCTGTCCAAATACACGGTCGACACGAATCCGAACGGGAACAAATAGGTGCTCCTAAATTCTGACGTCGCATTTCCAGGTGGACGGCGCAATTTAGTTACGGAACTGCAGCCGCCGTCCGGTTGATATTACGAGTCGGCCGACTTGTGTCGTGTCGTATGCGATGGGCGCTTAATACAATTTTTGGGAATTCAATTCCTGGGGGACTTTAGTGTGCTAAGAGTATCGTCCATGTTTAAGCTCCAAGAAGGAAAGTGCTTTTATTTGCAAGAATTATCTGAGACTAGTCTCAAAATGCCTTTGTGTTGATTGTAGTTTGTCTTTAAAAAACGTAAAACGTTTTTTGGAATTTCATTTCCTAAGGGTAATTTGCATGCAAAACAAGTAATAACGTCTGAATTCATACGTCAGTATCTGTGTCATGTGCTACGGCACTTAATACGATGTTTGAAAATTAAGTTCTTAGGGGTCTTTCTCGTGAACAGATACTTGCATACAAGTATCGTCCTTGCTCCACCAGTGTCCAGTAACGAATGTTCACAATGTTATTTATTTCCAACAATTTTGAAATCACGAACTACCTACGAGTCGCTTTGTATCGGTTTCTTGTGAAGGTATACATTACAACAGAGCATAATATTTATACAACAAAGAGTAGCGTAATAATTCACACATTTTGTAAGAGGTCACAAAACTAGTCGTCTCAAATTTAGCTTGGGTTTAAAAGCCACGTTTTAACCTGTACCGTGTGCGACGACACTTAATACGATTTTCCTGAATCGATCTCATTCCTACATTGTTCCATTTTGTTTCTATATCGGTTTTATCGGTTTATATCGATATCGATGAAGTAATACTATTATCTCGACTTCAGGTTGGATTAGATTTCTGTTAGCGGTTTTCTCTAATGCTACCAGATCGTAAAGGTACGAAGTACAAGATTTATAGTCGATTTTTTCTTGTTAATGTGATTGGATAATATTGTTGAACGAATTTTCCGACTTTTAAGTATAAAATGTTTCCATTAAAGTATCCATTAAAATATTAAGTATAAAAAAACAACCCAAGGACTAAAAAAATCTTGTTACTTAAGTGCTTTTTATAAACAAGATTTTCTATGAACTCGTAAGCATGCAAAAATATTATCAATATTGTAGAATACTAAATTCTCTACAAATTTTGTTTAAAAACTTTTTTTATACGGTGAACCGTTTTCGAGATAGAGGGCGGAGAGCGCGCGGTCACTGCATCACTTCAGGTCTACTTAAGCGATTTAGATTTTTCA